TTAAGCAAACAATCCCTATTTCCAAAGAGAAACAGAAACATAGACATGAAGATAGCAATAAAATCCGCTAACTATCCAGCATTAATGAACAGTTTTAAACATGTTTTAAACTTTTTTTTTTTAAGAGGTCCAACTCAGCTTTGACTCAAGCACAAGTACTTGACTTCAGTTGTTTATATCCTGATGCATGAAATTTGACAAAACATTTTTGCAGTTTCAACTGGATACATCACATTTAATACAAACATACGGGAGAATTGATAGGAGGCACTCTGTAAACAGCTTTCCATTTCAGAATTCTCCTCCCCTTGTGTGTCCAAACAGAGCTCAACATTGTTAGTGTTGTAGTTAAACTGCAGATCTTAATTATCTTTCTTTCCTGCTTTTAAGAACAATTGGGATGTACAACTAAAACTCATTTGTGCATATACGCATTTTTGAGATAACCACTAACCAGGCTTTAATTAGACGGAATTTCACAAATTATAGGAATAAATGGATTAGCAAAATAAGCTTTAAAGCTGCAGAAAGGCATATCCTAAAATTTGTTTTTATAAAAACAAGTGGTTTAGACTGACTCTGAATTCTACAACATAAACTGGTAGTAATGCTGACTACTAATAACACCTGGTAAAATAAACCTTGTTTAAACACTAGGCTATTTTGTCAAATTCTGAACAAACCAAGGAACTTGTGTATTAAACAGGTTAAACTAGGAAAAATAAGTTCTATCAAAAACTTACACTAGAGCAAGAGATGCACAGGGACAGGGTAGAAGAAAATTGCATATGGTTATGGATTTTTCAGAGCTTTTTGCCCTGCTAATAAGAATAGCTGAGCTGTCAAGTTTACCTCCACAGAGAAAAGAAATGAATGACTCAGAATCAAATGACTAGCTATCACAGAAGTATTGTTTGACAATGTCTGCAGGGCTCTTTGTAGCAATCAGTGAAGCTTATCTTTTCTATCTTCATTTTCAGAAGACTCAACCCTTTTCTGAAAAACTCAAGGTGTTAATGCCACTAATGGTAGCATAGCTCTTTTTACTTTACAACAAGCATAATTTACTTGTCTTAATCTTCTGTTCTGGTCTTCCTTCTGGAATACCACAAGAAGGGTTTTGGAAAGCAGCTAAAGAAACAACGCACAGCATGCAAATACATAAGCCAGGAATCAATATCTAGACCTCAAAGAAGCAATGATAAATACTGTCCCGAGTCAAATAGTGGTCACTAATAATACTCCAGACCAAAAATTTAACATCCTTTATATGTATGCTTCCATGTATCATGCTCTACACCAACATAAGCCAGTTCAATGTACAAACTGAATATTTGAGAAAAAAAGGGGCTTCAGTCATTATCAACTGGAAAAGTGTGCTCCACCTGTTTTCACTTTTTTGTTCCTTAGATCAAAGCCATTTGCATTACTTAGAATTTGTACAATATATTAGAAAGAACAATACTTTCAAAGACACAGCACATTTTCAGAAGAAAACATCCAGAACAGAACAACAAGGTAACATGGGGATTTGGGAGATCACCTGGTTTTAACAACCTTTTCTTGTTTCCAACAAAGAGGGAACAACCTACAACCCAACAACAATACATGCAGACAGATATCCACCACTAGCAAGTTGCCTATGTATTTTCTTCACCCATTTCCTTTTACTTTTTACCTTTTACAAAGATCGTGTCTATTCCACAATATCCTGGACAGTTTGCTGCATTTAGCTGATACCTGATTTACTTATGAAGAGACAGGACAGTTCAAAACCAGAGATACCTTTTTACCACCTAAAGCATTAAAAATCTCTTTTTTGAAAGTAACTTCTATTCCAGCTTTAAAAATCCACACTAGAGTTATTATCTAATTCATTGTACAATTTGGTAGTTAAACTGATGCTTGCTATGGTATGTAGGTCACTTGCAATTGCTTTGAAGTATTTTATAAACACCGCAGCTAGCTGAAGCTTTTATAAATGTTCTCATTCATCTTTGCGGTATTATAGTCCATTTGAGGAGCTTTACAATCAATGCACTCATAAGATTTAAATTAAAAGAGAATGAAGTTTGATTTAGACTGATAAAATATTCGTATTTGGTCATACCTTATAAATCTCCAGAAACTAAAGACAGGATGGTTGCCGAGATAACAGCTGTATCCACCTATGAAATATTAAAAATAAAAGACAGAAGTGATATAATTTGAAATTACTTCATCAGTTCAACCTACTGTTCTATTTGCCATATCGGGAAAAAAAAAAACTATACACAGTCTAGTTCAACAATAAACATTTAATTCCCAAGTAAAATACCATTCATTTGTCTATTGATTTTATGATTGCTATTCCAAAAAACATTGATTATTTTGATACTAGAAATAGTAACAGCTGTCTTCAATTGTCTCACTTGAGTCAGTCATTACTACATTTTTCATTTCTAAACAGTAGCAATATTCAGAATGGAAAAACCATTAGATGCTTTCCCCACATATTTTTTATTAACAGTAACTTCTGAATCTTAAAAATCATGAGTCTATGTATCTTGGTCATAGCAAGAACAGACTCCAGTGTAAAGAGGCTCCACTGATAAACAGGCTTCATTTTTCTCCCCTATCAGATGCACACTACTAGGAAATTGAGTTCACTTTTCTTACTCTGTTTTCAAACCAGGCATTTTGAAGCCTAGCCATTTGGCAACACACTCTGTTCTTCAGAAAACAATTGCTAACTTTTTTTTCCTTACTAATGAATTTATAAAGTAGGAAAACAGTTTTCACTTGAAAACAGATGAAACAGCTAGAAATAAAAAGCTGAAATAGCAATGACTAACTAGACTTTTTTTCATTTTCTTTCCTGCTCCGCTACAAAGAGAAAGCCCTTACCTGCTAAATTCCTATCCTCCTGAAAACTAACTCTTACTCTAAGGGTTGCTACTCATTTCCTTTTGTATAAATTAGAGCCATTGTTGGCCCAATAGTAGTTTGAACACAATTAGTTTCCATTTATTATCTATCACACTTTCAGCTGTGTTGCTTACCAAACCCAGACCCTTCTACTTAGCTAAATTGCCACATTCCAATTGGCCATGACTGTCAGAGAGAGAGGAATCAGCCTGTGTCTTAGAAACAGGATTTAAGACAGGACTTAAGCAAAATACAGACGCTAAATCCAACAGGGCAATCCACAAGACTCACTTTTGGCAGTTCTCCTCCACCTCAGGTGATGGCAGTTGCACTCAGTCCTAACGTAACTGCTTGATTTCCATGCTGAAAAATGCCTCAAACTTAATCCAAACTTTTCCCATCGTTTAGGAACTTTGTGGAGGTTGAGTCTAACCTTCAAATCAGGCTTGTGGGGATACTTTTCCCTGTCGTGCTTCTGACTTACCACGTCACTAGAGAAAGAACATGCCAGAAAAGACTGGGAATTAACATGCTCTGAAATGTCATGTTTCCATTTGATAAGAAAAAGCAAGTAACAGCTGAAGATGACTTTAATTGCAATATCATGTAGCAGCCAAGATGATAATCTTTCATATTCACAGTTTAACACTGTAGCGCTGGTTTGACACACAGGTCCACAGCAAAGTTCATTTAATATAAATGACTGAACATCTCAGGGTCAGGAAGACAAACAAGGAAAGAGATCTTTAAAAAGTATCCAGCTTGAATTAATTCTTTTATGAGAAACTAGTGAAGACTTTTCTTCACCCTTTAGACATAATGCGATTCCTACAATGTTCATAAAAGGATTTAAATAGCCTTAGCTTTTACAACATGAAACCTAAGATACACATTAGATTTCAAAACCACACTTTTGCTTTACTTTGTAATTGTCAAAAAGTTATGAAAAATAGACCGACTTAATAAACAGCATAGGATAATAATGAGTTACCTGAGACTTCGATTCCGCTATCCTTCTGATACAGGCAACATCGTCATACAACCATTTTTTAACTTTACAACAGGTTTCCTGTCAGGATTTACCGGGCGCCGTGTCCGGGGCCCGGCAGCCGCCTGTGTGAGGAGAGGCCGGGGCTGCCCCGCGCGCCCGCTTCCAGCCGCTTCTAGCCGCTTCCAGCCGGTTCCAGAGCGGCCCCTCAGCGCGGGGCGCGGCTGAGCCAACCGGCCGAGCTGGCGGCGCCTCTGTGAAAACCCCTTCGGAAAGGGCAAAACGCCGCGTTGCCCTGAGGAGTGAGGAAAAAAGTGTAAGAAACGGCCCCGAGAGCACCGAGGTGAGGAGGAGGAGGGGCAGGAGGTGCTCCAGGTGCCGCGGTAGCGACTCCCCTGCGGGGTGTGGAGAGGCCGCTGGAGCGGGTGGGTTGGGCCTGAGGGAGCTGTGAGGAGAGGGGCGGTTTTGGACTGGCCGCAGCCCCCGCTTCCTGTCCCCCTAGGAATAGGAGTACAGGAGTTGGGAATGAAGTTGAACCAGAGAAAAAAGCTGGGGAAAGCTGTTCTGGTGATTTGGTCTTTGTTTCTTGGCATTCAACTGTATTATAAATTAAACTAATTTTCCCCAAATCAAGCCTGTTTTCCTGCGATAGTAATTGGTAGGTGACCTCCCTGTCTTCATCTTGGCCCACAGCCTTTTTCATCTTACTTTCTCCCCCCTGTCCTGTTGAGAGAAGGGGGAACGAGAGAGTGGCTGGGTGAGCATCTGGACAAGGTCACCTCACTAATGTCATTTATTTGGCACCCAATAGTAGGTCCAGCCCACAGCCCTGAAATTTGTCACATTAAGAATTTTATGCTCTGCAACTGAACTAACTGGCCATTCACAGGGTGGTATGGCCGTAAGCTAAGCTTTACCCACCACACAATAAAAACACAAACTGTATTGAACCTGTTGTTTTACCAGCAAGGGAAAACGTGTCTTTTTAAATTAGGGTCCATTTGACTGAGTTCTGGCCATTTAGAAAGAGCTTTAGTGGAGATGTGCAATGTGTAACTATCTAGACCTGAACACTGAGAAGAAAAGGACAAACAAGGAACTTGAGTATTTTCATGTCTTTACTAAATGTAGAGGACAACAACTTACTGATCAAGGTTGTTTAATACATATGGCATCACATACAAAAAACCATTCAGTCTCCACTCTATACAGTGATATTAATCTAATATGCAACATATATTTTATACAAATATGAGCAGATAATTTGGCAAAACTTTAACATTTTTTTGGCAGCCAACTTGTAGGAGTAATATTATAATAGAAAAATTGGTCATTTCTGGCACAGCGATCACACTAATGGAGTACACTGCAGGTAAGACAGGCTTGCTTCTCTTGCACTTGACCTAGATACGAAACTAAATAAAAATAAAAGTTTCAGTTAGATGTACACAAATAACAATGCTTCATGTGTGCTTCTCCCATTTGGTGCTGCTCTGCTTTGCCAAGCTGTATGGTTCCCAGCATTCAGGTGGACACTACATTCTGATGAGTTGCTCACATGTTAAGATTTTTGTACATGCCTGGACACCTCCCACTTGTGGAGTTGGTTGAGGCTGTGAAAATTTTCCAATAGGAAAAAGTTTAGAGGACAGGGCCAAGAAAATCATCACATTTCCTTTGTAAGCTCTGAAATCTTCACATATCTTCAGTTCTTATCTCAGTCCCATCATTTTCTCAGGCTTCTGGCACTGAAATTTTTTTCTGAGTGATGAAAAGTACTGCAACCGAGATACCACTTACACATGCTGCATCTGCAAAATGCAAAAAATAATCATTTGCCTGGTTTTCCTCCCAGATGTTGGTATTTTGGGGGAAAATGTTCTAGAGTTGTTCACGATCTTTGTGTTTAGCTTACATTCAACGTTCCTAAAAATTTATACCTCAGCTTGGTGATTTAGATGCAAGGACACTGCCTTAGCAGTCAACTGTAGCCATGACAGTGAATATAGAATACTTGTAATAGTTTGGTTTGTGGTTTTTTTTTTCTTTTACTTGGAAATGGCAGTATTTAAATGTAGTTACTCAATAATCATTGTGTTGTATATGTGATTACATTAAGGGTAATGATCTAGAAAAGCAGTGTTCGTAAATGGGTTTTCCCGACAAGAAGCTTTTGCTGCAAAACAGGCAATTAATCTTCAAATAGACCATGTAAAAAACAGGTGTTCAATGACATACAGATTGGTGGCATCGGTATTGAAACATCTTGTTTCATAGCATGTTGGTAGCAGTATGGAGAAAAGATAATGCATTTGAAGTTTTCCATCCAAAGCAAACCAACATCTTTATAAATAACTTTTGCTTCTCAAGACAACTCTTCATGTATCTTGAAGATTCTAACATTAGAATCTGTTAATCTGAATGGAAAACGCAGCCTAAAATTAGTTACAAACCATCTGTATCTGTCAGCTAAGTCATACACAACTTTGAAATCTGTATTCCTACTTTTTGTGTCTGAAATAGAACAAAAAAAAAAGGAGGAACATCTTTATATATGAAATCTGTGTTAAATGTTTCAAGGAGCTAACTTGCTGCTTAAGTTATGTTCTGCTGTCTAAATACTATTATCTCTCGGTAGTTGTGTCCTCCACTTTTAATCAGTTATTATCACATATTTGGATGAAAATCAAACATACCATATAAATACAAAAAAAAAAAGAAGTTTCAGCCTGAAGAATTTGATTATCACATTGGTAAATACATAACTGCTGCTCTCAGGCAGAGACAGCTGAGACACAAGTTTTGAAGTGGTCTTAGTCTAATGGTTTAACAATATAACAAATTAGAAGAAAAGTGCAAAGTATGACAGTCAATTTCTAGATCATTTAGCCTTACTCAGCATTCTCTCAGTCCAGTCTGACTATGTCATGGATACAGAGACAAAGCCTATTACAGTTGAAAGGAAAAATAATCCAGTTGCCAAGAAGGGAGTAAGATCATCAAGCCCTGAATGTGAACCTAAATACAAATTCCAACTTAGGTGTGTATAGTGAAGGAAGTTTTTATGTATTTAGGCATTTAAACGAATCTCTTATGTTGATGAGAGAGTTTTGAAATGATGATTCATTGTATTCCATTGCCAAGCCAGCTTCTGAGATGGCAAAAAAACTGGCATTGCGCTATCCAAGTTGATAAAGCTTTGCCAGTACATAGCAACAAGGAGAAGACTTGCTACCTTCTAGTAAGAAAATTATCTTCATTTTCCTTTAGTATTACTTTCAGTTATGTGTAAAGATTTGCTGCTTTGGTTTCTTTTAGGGAGAAAGTGCAGAGGTTGGCTTTTTTTTTTAGAATAGTAAACTTGACCACTTAAATTATTTAATGTTCTACATTCTTTTTTGTGACCTAAGTGCGTTTTCCTCTGTCAGAAGAGGTCAGCAGAGGTCAACACAGCAGGTGCTGAGTCTGATGGCCTTTTGCAAATTTCAGAATGTTATCAAAATTTATTTTTAAAAGGTTAAGATTTTTCTTCCACTTTCCCTGTCTAAATAATGGAATAAGCTGAAATGCCACTCTCTGCCAGAGATGTTGCCAAGTTCATAGCACTGGATAACAAACTGTCCAAGCTTTGACATCTAATCAACATCACTAATATACTTAAATGTAAAGAAGAAACAAATTATTTTAAGAATTCAACTGTCTTCTGGGTATATGTGCAGATTACACCATGTCAAATAAGGAATATCCATCTTGGAAGTTATCTTTGTGGTAAAGAAGACTAGCTATAGTTCTTAATATGTCTGACATTGACTGGAGGCATTTAAAAAATGCATATTCATCAGCAGTCCTGCTTCCTGAAATCATTTATGCACTGGTCACTGCTTAACACAAGAGCAGCTTCATAGAAATTAAATTTATGCCGATCCTTTAAATGGTTGATGTTGAAACAGATTTGCACAGTACAGTAACTGTGTTCACACAAACTCCCCATCAGTTCAAGACTCAGTCTGAGTGATTTTCAATGCAGTCTGTTCCAGGCCAAGAAGTTTAAGAACAGAAGCAAATGTCTCTTAAATTTCAGCTGATGAATGTTGTTTTCCAAAGTACTTGTCACCTGTACAGATATCCACATGCTTGATTTGTAGGCAAACTTTTTCTGCAATGCATTTGGAATGGAGTTAGGCAAATAAAGCCATTTTCAGTGCATGCTGTTAGACATTAATAAGCCTGCTATTTAGTAAGTGTTCTTCTGAATTTAAATATCGAAATTCAGAACTAGCCTTATTGGGCAAATTAAGCTTCAAAACACCAGGGTATACATATTAGGTAATATTTCCCAGCCAAAATTTACATTTTTCATTCTAATGAGATATCAATAAGCTTTGCTTCCAATGTTTACTGTATTTACTACATAGCTTAGAAATTAGTAAAAATTCTGCCCATACTATTTATAGGTTAACATTCAAAGACTGTAGCACAGAAATTTTTATAACAACCAAAAGCAAACTCATCCATCTACACTTTAATTTCCCCAAAACCTGTGATAAAAAATAGCTTATTACTCCAAAAGTATTTAATATTACAGAATAAAGTAACAATACTCCTCAATACCACAAGAAAACCCACTGTTCCAACAGGCCTTGACAAGAAGAGTTCATTTAGAGAGAACATCCAAACCTACTAATGCCCCAAAAGATTCTAATTAAAATAAATAATTAGAGAGGAAATATTTGTATATTGTATGCATACTATATGTATATAACTACATTGACCTACATAAAAATCAGTATGGAAACTACCCACTATTTTTCACAATAATAAATACTGTTCAATTATCGTCTTGGATTCTGGATACTAAAAACCCACTTTTAATTTCTTTATTCAGCTGTTTCTCTAATGTTGCCCCACCTTAAAAATGGGAGAACTCTTATATGCATAAGAGACATCCAATAAGGAAAAATAATTTTTAAAGTCACCCATATCACTATCCCCTCAAGAGGTCAGACACTGACCAGAGAATATCCTGGAAAAAGTAGTTTCTGACAGAATGATAACCAGGAAGAGCAATCTGCCATGAGCATCCACGGATTCAAAGCTAGGACTGAGAATTTGCCTTTACAAGGTAAATTCCAGGTCTCTGAAACCTGACCATGCCCCTGTAAGAACCCAGACCTGCTCCAGAGACCAACATTTCAAGGAACTTAAATGGAAAGAGGATCAAGCTCTAAATATTCATAGACTTACGATTCTTTCAAGTAATTAGCATTGAAGACTTCCATCTGGAAGGTGTACATATGATGTATACAATGTGACTATAGTGAGGTAGAGTAGCTGGCATCATCCCTCCAGAGGGAAAGCTTGGGATAGTGGTCTCGGAGTCCAGAGCTCCGAGTGCTGGAAGGCATTCCAGGCAGGAATTTCTAAATAGAAAAATCACTTTTCACTGCTCGTGTGAGTTGATTGTACCTATTGCCCTCTGGAATTGGAGATTGAGGTTTTTTCACTTTATGTTTTAGCTCCTGAGCTGTTGATCATTGTAGGATTTTCTTGTGCCTGTTACCCACTATAACCTGCATCAGTTGCAGAGTCGAGCAATGGAGACTGCGTGGCTGACCTTGTTGAAAATGAACAAAACTCAAGTTAAATTGCACAAGTCCCCTTTTGTTGGTGTCTGGAGAAAATCAGTACATCTGCTATGTTTTTATAATATATCAGGGTATATTTTGTATAATCTGTCTGGGTATTTAGGGTTTAGTCGTTGGAATTTGTCTCAGTACATGCCATCTCAGTACATGTACATCTCGGTACATCCCAGGGAATATTTTACATTAAAGCCTGGACTTCAGGCCCAGAAGAAGTTCTACGGTAAGTTTTATGTCACTGCCAACTCCATCTCCTTCTTTATTCCTCTCTAGAGCCAGTAAAATATTCAGCCTATGTGGCTGCTCAGCACGTGGCCCAGAGGGTCTGCTTGAAGTGGAACAGTTGTCCCTGAACCACTTAGGTCTTTAGCCCAATCTTCTGCCTGAGCCAGGTCCAGTTAGTTCAGGTTCCTCAAGGCCATGTCCAGTCAAGCTGTGAATATATCCCAGGATGGAGATTCCACAATTTCTGTCACTCCTGGTCCAATATTTGACCACCATTGTAGTAAAGAAAGAAATTTCTAACATTTGTTTGCAGTTTACAATTTTCTAATGTGTGTCCATTATCCTTGTCCTGTCCATGGATCCCCCCTAAGAAAAGGCTGGCTCCATCTTTTGTCTACCCTCCTGTTAGGTAGCTGTGTATCTCAATTGTCAGAAACACAACAATCCAAAGAAGGTTTCACAGTAAACCCTTTGAGGTGTCAGAGTTTTAATAGAGTCATAATCTTTATGTCATGGAAAACTCATGTCTGAAGTTAGTGGGTGACTGCAAAGTTTGAAAAGAACTGTAAATAAAAAAGAACAGCATAGGTCTCATAACATTTTGGATTTAGAGTGGGTGTCCTTCTGCCACCTGCTTATCATTCTGCCAAGGTCCAATGCACTACTTGTTTCAAAAATACACTGAATTCTGTCTTGAGTGCCAGCCCCATGACTATTTCTGGAAAATGAAAATACAATCTCTTAGGCTGCCTTTGCAAGTGTCTCTTCCTCACTCACTAGAACTTAAAGAAATTAGAAACATCTATCTTTCAATTTGCTCAAAAGATAAAATTAAGCATAAGTAACAAGAATTAACCTGGATATTAAAATGCAAAAAAAAAAAAAAAAAAAAAAAAAAAAGGGCAATTGAATTTTCCAGGGCTA